ATGTCAAATTCGTTATGAACATAACAGATATAGATGACAAGGTCATTTCATCCCCATTGTGTGCCTGGGAGCTTGCTTTTTGCTGACACGTGCCTTAGATTATTCTTCGAGGACGACAACAACATCTCTTCTCAGAATTCATGACCGAACATCCTACAATCGACGCGGAAGTCCTCGAAACGGCGAAATCGGCCTATAAAGCGTATCTGGAGAAGAATTTGCCGCTTTTAGACCCTGAGCTGCCCCCTGCGAAGTATCAGGAGGAGGTGGAGAAGGTTTACGCTGTTGTGCTCAACGGCGGACCGCTTCCTGGGAATGAGAAACCCGGAGATGATGAGGCCAAGGTTAAAATGCACATCAAGACTGTATCCTCTGCGGCGAAGGCTATCGCAGAGGCAGAAAGCTCTGCCGAAATTTCCAGTGAAACCTTCTACACGAACGCCCAAGACATTCTCCTTCCGTACCTGGACAAGTTGAAGGGGGCGACTATTAATGGGGATGATCACTCCATATTTACCAAACTGACAAAGAAATATGAAGAGCGGTTTATGAAGGATGTCCGGGATTTGAATGTGCTTGATCCTGACGAAATCACCCGGGTCACTGAGTACGGTGAAGAGATTGCCGAATTCGTGCAGCGCATTGTTGAGAACAAATTCGGGTATGTCACAGCAGACGGCTCTGTTTACTTTGATATTCAAGCCTTTGAGGCCGCCGGGCATCCCTACGCAAGACTGGAACCGTGGAGTCGATCAGACAACAAACTTGTGGCTGAAGGTGAAGGCGCCTTGATCAACAAGACGACGGAAAAACGGTCGCCATCTGATTTTGCACTATGGAAGGCTTCAAAAACCGGGCGAACCTAGCTGGCCGAGTATCTGGGGCAAAGGGCGACCCGGATGGCACATTGAATGTTCTGCAATGGCTTCAGCGAAGCTGGGCAGACGGATGGATATCCACTCTGGGGGTATTGATCTTGCTTTCCCCCATCACGATAATGAACTGGCCCAGAGTGAAGCCTACTGGGCCGGTAGCCATGACCATGACCATGGCAATGAACAATGGGTAAACTACTTCTTCCACATGGGCCATCTATCAATTCAGGGATCGAAGATGTCAAAGTCCTTAAAAAACTTTACGACAATCCGTGAAGCTCTGGAACGGAAAGACTGGACACCGAGAAGCTTGCGTATCGTCTTTCTGCTTGGTGGATGGAGAGAGGGTATTGAGATCACGGAGGAGCTCGTGAGTGCCGGAAATGCATGGGAGGACAAGGTCAACAACTTCTTCCTTAAAATGAAAGACCCCTCTACTTTTCAGACCCCGACATCTGCTACAGATGATTCCCTTGCTGCTGCTCTCGAAGAAGCCAAAGATGCTGTCCATAAGCATCTCTGCGATTCGTTCAACACGCCTGGTGCTATGTACGCCATATCTGAGCTCATCTCCAAGTATAACAGTGCAGACAAGTCGACTTTGAACCCTCAACATGTTGAAGCTGTCGCAAGATGGGTCACCTCAATGGTTAACATGTTTGGCTTGAACGGTTCTGCAACACCTGACAGTCCAGAAATCGGCTGGTCCGGTATCGATGTGCCCGAGGTGGCAAAGCCGTATCTCTACCCTCTTTCAGCCATGCGCGACTCGCTTCGCCAACTGGCTCGGTCGAAAGATGGTCTCACAGCTGAGAAGGTCAAGGAGATCGCTAACAGCGGTCCGGAAACCGAGCAAGAGGTCCCTGAGGAGGCCAAACCCTACGCTAATGTCTTGTCGGATTTCCGTACCAAGCTCTCCTCCCTCGAGAAATCCGAGAATATCGGGAAAGAGGTTTTGAGTCTCTGCGACCGGCTCCGTGACGTCGACCTCTTTGATCTCGGAGTCTATCTCGAAGATCGAGACAATCTGCCGGCGTTAGTCAGGCCAGTGACCAAGGAGCTGATTCAGGCACGAGAAGAAAAGGCTGCGCGAGCTCGCCAGAAGCAGATTGAGAAAGAAAACAGGGAGAAGGAGGCCTTGAAGAAGGCAGAGAAAGGCCGGATCAGTCACCTGGAGATGTTCCGGACGGCTGAATTTAGTGCTTGGGATGAAGACGGCATCCCAACTCATGACGCGGCTGGCGAAGAGATTAGCAAGAGCCGTGCAAAGAAGCTCCGTAAGGATTGGGAAAAGCAGAAGAAGTTGCATGAAGCTTGGTTGGCCAGTAATATGGGCGCAAAATAGATACCCAGTGGACAGGTCAGATGAGGTTTGTCAGGGGTTATTGTTGTGCCTTTGATCACTTTTTTTTTTTTGCATTGGGCGGGCGTTAGGAGAAAGTGTATTTGTCGATTATGAAATGTATATATACTGTTTCCCTTTGCAGGCCAGCGGGCTGGAAATGGAAAACCTTCAGGGATGTTTTTTTCGTACTCTGCTAGAAGTTGGATACAATCTTTAGAGCCTCTGGATTTTAGTTGTAGATGTGTAGTAAATGGTATTATTCCTCAATTCAAGTCACATACTCCAGGTTCATCACTTCCAATGCATTCAACCAGCCTGATATTATATTCAAGCATGCACGTGCAGTTGTCTCGGAAAAGCTCCGGGGAGTATTTCACCGAGTTGCCGATAACAGAGCGCCTGATCGGCAGGCATCCGGTCGGCTGCCCAACAAGGAAGTGGGAGGACCGCGGGGAAGATCTCGATCGCGTCGGTTGACCTGTCGTTTTGGGAAGCATTGTTGTCACTTAACCTCTCACTTTCCGATTCAGAGGAGGTAAAAAGACGGGTCTATAAAGATTATTTACTAACGTCCAAGTCACTTACTGAGTCCATACCCTCTTCATATCCTGACACATTTTCTCAAGTTCCTTGCCTTCCAAGCTTCCATTGAATCTTTTCTCAACTGAATTCCTTTTCTCTTCGCGTTGCCATTTTCGTCAAGAATGGCTTCTGAAAAGACAGGGTTGGATGTTCTTCGGGCTCAAAGCCTGGTGGACTGTGATACTTTGGATGAAGACGGTATTCCTCTTTCTATATCCATTCTGCTTTTGATGTGTCGCCTGGAACGTTACTGACCGTTGATATCAGTTGCGAAGAAGCTTGGTCCGTTTAAAGACTGTACTTCGAACCAGGTATCTCCTCTCTTTCCTAGTTCACAAAACACTGGTTAAATTGTTTGTTGACACTGCGAGAAATATACAGGCCATCGCCTTTTTTGAACTATCAAAACCAAAACACGAACAGCTGCTTGCAGATGCTATTCATACAGCTGCGAAATTTATTGGCAAAGAGCGCAATCCAGAATACCACTACTTCGAGGGGGTCACCCTAGAAGAGATAGCAGTCGAGATCGCGGTACGCAATTTGCTACATCTGCTAAGAACAGTTTCTGACATACTTCCGCGCATTAGATGGTGAAGCTGGCGTTGAAGATGGTTCCCAATATCAGCGGACGAGTTCACGTGCAGACAAATCCTTACTATGCGTACTCGACAGAAAAGACTGTTGCGAATGCGTTTCGTAAGTTTCTCCACGCAGTTACATAAATACTGTTTAGCAAATCTAAGACGACAACCACAGGGATCTTCTACTTTTTCAAATTCCTCGAACCCAGTTTTGACGTAACCCAAATCAGCATCAAGATCCCTAGCACTTGGGAAGGCATGATGGCTTGCCGCATTCTCGAGATGGCTGGCATTCGGACTTTGGCCACGACCCTCTTTACCCTCACGCAAGCAATTCTGGCTGCCGAAGTGGGCTGCACATATGTCGCACCATATGTGAATCAGCTCAAGGTTCACTTTGAACCTGGGTTGGTCTTCCCACTCTCATTCCTTTGTATTATGTTTGGACTCTGCTGACACCTTGTTAGATTCACTGATCCGAACAAGCTTTTTGAGCTTTGCGTCTCCATCCAGCAATATTTCAAGTCGATTAACGCAAAGACCCAGGTCATGCCAGCGAGCTTAACGTCGACTGAAGAGATATTTTCCCTGGCGGGAGTGGACCACATAACTATCGCTCCTCCTCTTCTCGAGCAGCTTGCTCAACCCGGGTCTGTACCAACAACGCAGTCCTTCTTCGACAGAGACTTGTCGACTGTCGAGGTGCCCTCGAAGGTCTCCTTTGTGAATGACCCAAGTGCGTATCGGGTAGCATTCTCTCGAGATCAGGGAGGTGCCGGAGAGGAAAAGCTGACCCAGGTAAATATACGTTTTTCGCCTATATATAGAAGCTCCAAGTCTAGACTTGTTTGCTAACAGTATTACTTCAGGCAATTAACATATTCTGCGAGATGCAGAACAAGCTGGAGGCCCTTGTCAAATCGAAGGCTGGACTCTAGGATGGCCGTCGATGAAAAGAAATGAGAAACAACGTGAAATAGTTCAACTGTGATGGTCAGCCCAATATAGGGGTTATTACAGCAACTCTAGGCTCATAACTGATAACAAAATGACACTAATCTAAATAAGGAAGGAAAGAAGCAAATAATCTAATTCTCTATCCATATAGAAGGTAATGAGCAGCTCTATATATGGGCTTACTCCGTATGACGCAGGGCCTGCAGTTCCTGGTCTTGTCGGTTTAGCTACCGGTCTTGTCTATTGACTTGCTCGCACAGTCCGTTCACAACTGTTTCCAAATAGTCAAATCAGTCCATTGTCTTCATCCCTGCAGAGTTTCCAAATCTCCTTAGATCACGATTGAACTCAACAGACTGGTTTGATTGAGTAAAAAGTGTATTGGTCATGACGGCTCTCTCTGAAGATGAAGGGGCAGTCACTCTCATTGTTATCCTGCTTCAGGCAAATGCGACCCATTGCTCTCTGTTCTGCAAGATGACGGGTTGCAGCACCGAGCAATTTCCTGTAGTGTTCCATATCCAGTTCCGCTGTCCTGGAATCATCAAAACCTTCAATAATAATATCTCTTCCCTCTTCAGGTACGATGTCCGTGATGGAGCCCATTTGGGAGCACCTCTGCGACCCAATCGTAGTCGAATGTGCTCGCCCTTGTTGCTTGATAAACGGTAGAGATATCTTTCTTCGCAGAGTCCAGGATGAAAATTCGTCGTCACTCCAGTCGTCTTTTTTCGAGACAATTGGGTTTTGTGGAATCGGTGGCTCAGGCAAAACAGTCTATAGAAGTCAGTGAAGAATGTCTCAGAATGGTGACGTGGGCGTATGTACAATTCGTGGTTGTCGTAATTTTGGAGTATTATCGACTATATGCCACAGCTCCAATGTTGCACTAATAGAGCATTTACCCAATCTTTAACCACGATCGCAGATTGTATGTTCTCATATATCTCGGCGTCAGACTCGACATCAGAATCTCCATGGTTGATTCCTTCTCGATCCTTTGCTTTGGCAGTTCCAAATTCAGTAATCAGCTCTCGGATCCTCTTTTGTGCTTTGATAGTTCTCTGTCTAGCCTTTTGACTCTGAATATCTTCTTTGATGTCCACAAAAATGACGAGTCTAACTTTCCCACCTGGTCTTTGAAGCCACTGTGCTGCGTCACTGACCAGGTCGTTGTAGTTCTCTGTAAACCCAACTTCAAAGATGAGGCTTGGTGAGGGCTTGGATTCCGGGTCTCCAAAGAGAATGGCAGCATTGGCAAGGAGGGCGCCTAACCTAAAAGGGGATACTTCATTGTATTCAAACTCAATAGGTAAATCCCCGACTTAATTACGATACCAGGGCTAGGTCACTGGGTCAGGTAGCTTCTTTCCCCAGATTCTCGCCCCGGAAAAGGAAATCCCACGTGACCTCCGCTGAGACAAGAAACTTTTCGGTAATTACATCTTTGGCTTTCTGAGCGGGGAGTCAATTTCTTTTTCTTTATCTTATTCCTGTCATGTTCTTTGTCCTCAATTTAATTCAATTGGCGTACTAATTTGCCACACCGGAGGACGCTGTGGTCTATATTCTTTCTTTTTCCCCCTTGGATGTGAAATTCCTCCGTCCTAAACCTCTACTCCGAGTCGAAGGAACCGCGCGGTATACACAACTGATGTCTAAGCTACGAGTCTGAACAAACTATGTTCCCCTCACAAGTAGTTAATAATATAGACATTGAGGCCGTGAGCGGCATCCTTGGGTATGTCTTGATCATTTCTTTACTCTGGGGTGATGATCCGGGTCCGAGGAGTTGGGGATTATGTCATTTTTTGATAATCTGCCAAGTTTCTTCGATACTATGAATGAATGAATGAATGAAAGTCTGTTGAGCTGATATCAATTGCCATTCTTTTCAGCTCCATTTCCATTGCCTGCTGGGTCGTCGTCTTTTCCCCACAGATCATCGAAAACTTCCGCCGCGGGTCCGCCGATGGCCTCTCCCTGCTCTTCATCATTGTCTGGCTGGCCGGAGATGTCTTTAATATCCTTGGAGCGGTGCTCCAGGGCGTCTTGCCCACCATGATCATCCTCGCGGTGTACTACACCCTCGCGGATATCGTACTGCTGGGGCAATGCTTCTACTACCGAGGGTTCACCCTTTGGGATGAGGTCGACACAAAGAAGAGCAGACCGGGGTCCGGGTATGATGATTATAGTACAGAGAATGGCGAAAGACATCAGCCGACGGAACGCACGGCGCTTTTGGGTAATGGCAATGGAAATGGCCACGCCCATACGAATGGTGGGTACGCCTCACAGATTTCGCCAGGAGATCACCAGCCTCACCACCGCTTCCCTCACGTCGACGGGACCCATCTGTCGCCTGCGACTCCCTTTGTCGACCCTTTGCCATCGTCATCTTCGGCTGCTGGCGTTGGCACTTCACGTCCAGCACGTCGTCTGTCAACCCTGCAGACCGTTGTTTTCAACACGTTTGCCATTGCTCTTGTCTGCGCCGCAGGGGTGTTAGGATGGTATGTGAGCTCCAGCGCAGCACGCAGCGGTAAACATCACAAGGACACGAAGAAGCCAAACCCCAATGCCCTCTCGTTCGACATCCTGGGCCAGGTCTTCGGCTACCTCTGCGCCGTTTTGTATCTTGGCTCCCGTCTCCCGCAACTGTTGCTCAACTTCCGTCGCAAGTCGACTGAGGGTGTATCCCTGCTCTTTTTCCTCTTTGCCTGCATTGGCAATCTGACATATGTGTTGTCCATCTTCGCCTATTCGCCTGTCTGTGGTGGTGCAGGACAGGAGGAACAGGCTCTAGCATCAAAGAAACCGCGCTGTCAGCCCGGCGAGGCCGCTGCTATCTACGGCCGGTACATCCTCGTCAACCTGTCCTGGCTACTGGGCAGTCTGGGGACATTACTGCTGGACATGGCGATCTTTGTACAATTCTTCCTCTATAGAAAGGATGACGATGATAATGGCGGTGACATTGAAGAAGAGCAGGAAGAAGATGAAGGAGACGATGAAGAATATGAGCGTCGATGATAACCATTTCAAGAAGGATATCTGAAATATATGAATAGAAGGAAATACATATTCAGAACCAGATCTGGATCTAGATCATTGCTGTATACTAACTAGATAGATAGAAAAAAAAACCACGATCTGAATGATATGAATTATTTTTTGAATTTCACTTTTCCTCTATCGAGAATAATACCTTATAAGCAAGCAAGCAAGCAAACCAATTAGAAAATATGTTAAAACAACTAGCCCTATTACATCGCTAGAGACGAATACTCAGACAGGGAAAAACATGAGCAAAAAAAAGCAATAACTCCAACAGACTCCCTGACCCATTTTCCATGCAGTATGATGATGTATGATGTTTCTTTAGTGATTAATGAATTCTAACCAGATAAAGCAAATGACCTTCCTCCCTCTCTAAAGAAAAAAAAGACGTAGAGTCGTAAGAGGAGGCTGTGATCACGTGCCGATCAATCAATCCATTGATCCCTCTTGATGATTGATTGCTTGCTTGATTGATTGATTGATTAATCACTGGAAGGCGGACGGACAGGCACCCTCCCCTTGCCGACCTCCTCCCAGTTCGTGCTCAGCGCCGTCCCCTCGCTTTCGTAGTAGCTCTTCACCATCGCGCGGCGCGTGTCCGGGTCGGCGTTGGCGTACAGTTTCTTGAAGAACGCATCGACGGGATCGCCGGTGCCGTAATCCGAATCGATAGATTCAGCACCGTCGGACTCGGCGCCCGCATCTTCAGCGGCATCTTTCTCGCCGTCGTCACCTTTGTCTTTGGTGGCCGACTTCGCCTTGTCCTTTCTCTTCTTCTTTGTAAGGTCTGAAGCCAGTTTGTCCCAATCTTTGACTCCGTGGCGGGATGATGTTGGATATGCCGGACCGCTGGGCTTGCTGCTGCTCGTCGAGGCGGCTTCGTCGTTAACAACGGTGGAACGATCTGTCAGATTCGCGGTGGTCGATGATGCTTCTAAGGCGCTCCATTTCTGACCGGGTGTTTGTTTGCGGAGAACGATCTCAACCTTTGTAGACAAGACGGCGATCTTGGACTGAGTTGTGTCGATGGGAGCGTACAGAGGATCGAGGGTGAAGGCGTATACGGCGCCTGATGGAAGGGGGAATTGGACAGAGATCTGATATTTTTTTTATCCCGTTAGTATCAGACGTGACGTATAATATAAAAATCGCAATAAACATACCGAAGTGTTCTGAAGATCGACGTCCAATTTATCCTTTGGAACACCCTTGGCATAGAGTGTCACAACCACCGAATCATTGGACTGATACCATTCATGCCGAATCTTTTCGGGAACAGCACCAGGACCAGCACTCATAGGTGCAGACGAGCCAGGACCGGCTGCATCTAGCGTGGCCTCCTTCGTTTTATCGGGAGATGGCTCATTGGTGGCTGTCTCGGTCTTGTCCGTGCCAGCATCAGAGCCTGCTTTTTCTCCTGCCAACTGAGCTTTCAGGATTTTCCTCATTTCTTCTTCTCCGGGAATCTCGACATTCTCCGGATACTCCTTGATCGTCACGGCTGCCTTCTCGCTATCCGGGCCCAGTTTGCTGAGCTTCCCCTTAACCTTGATGGTCCAGATGGATAGCTCTTGTTCATGCTTCTCCATCGAGCGCTGACCCGTCGCCGCTGCTTGCATCTGAGTCGACTTGTCCTTGGAACGGCCCGTTTCGATCTTTTCTTTCACGATGTCGAAGATATAGGCTGCGTCGCCATACCGTTCCAGCTGGAACAGTGCAATCGCACGTCTCATCTGCGCGTCGAGAATGAGCTCGCGCTTGGCGCGCTCACGGGCGAGCACAAGACCGATTTCCGCATCGCGAAGGGCAGCATCGAAATCAGGACCTCCATCCGCGGGCTTTCGGCGTAAGTACGCAGTCGACCGCTTGATGTAGTAGCTCGGGGCGCGGGGTAGTTCGATTAGGGCATCGGTGAAGTGTTTAATGGCTGCTGGCCAGTCTGAATTTGCAATGGCCTTATCGCCCTGTGTAGCAGCGTTCATTGCACAAGAAATGCACCTCTAGAAATTCTTTCGTCGTGTCTGTCAACGCTCTTGCGTAGTGAGCGGTGTCCAGCTTCACTGTCCAGGTGGGGTCATATGAGTTGCGGAGTGAAGATTTCAGACGTGATGTCGCAAGGAACTTCAGTGATAACGGCACAAAAAAGGAGATAGAGGTTTGAAAGAGGTCAGAATGCTAAGCCAACGAGTGTACATGTATTTGTTGACAAAGACGCGTTGAGAATATATCACAACATTGGATGTTCTACCGCCTTTCGATCGCTTTCTCCTCAGCTGCGGGGGAGCTCGGAGCTGTCTTGCACGTGATTCCTTATCAGCTATCAACTGTCCACCAAATCAACGGGTTCACTGTACACAATGAACAGTAAAGATTGAAAGATCGTATTTTCAGGTGAGACAAATTGCTGGTGCATGGGACACAACTGTCAAATTATATCTGATCTACTATTGTCAGACCCCAAATTTGGAGACCAGATGAAGTTGTTTGCAGGTATCAGATGTTGATATTGCATATTCCCCCCAGATTAAGTTTTAATATTGAGGCGTTATAATTAATTATATTAGATTAAGGATTATAGACAAGCGCATCGATTCTGCAGCTCAGAGCAGCTCTTCATTACCAAATTTCCTGGCATACAGACCCAGAGCCCGGATGGGCCAGTAGAACTTGTAGTTCGGGTATGAAATCATGCTAAATCAAGTAAGTTAGCAAGGGCATGCATATTGCAATCGATCCTTCGAATACGTACCATGACTGGTTGAAAACACCCTCAATCGCCTCTTGCAGCCATTCTCCATTCGGCTGCTGTCGAGACATGATCAGCTTCATGGCCTTGCGAATCGGTTCTTTGTTCGGGTACTCGGCCTCCATCAGTGCCAGGCAGGCCCAGGCTGTCTGCACGACCTGGGACTTCTCATGCTGGGTGTACACATGTCTCTCACTGCTGAGATAAGATTCACCCCACCCGCCATCTTCTTTCTGCTTGGACAAAAGGAATTCACAGCCGCGACGGGCATATTCGCTGTTGCTGTAGGTCTCCCCGATGCTGGCAAGACTCTCAAGAGCAAACATAGCCGCATACGTGAAGCAGATACCCCAATTCCCATACCAGCTCCCGTCCTTTCTTTGAACACGCTTGATATACTGCACTGCCTTCTCCTTGGCGGCCTTGATCTCGTCGGCTCGATAGTCCGGGTAAAACTTGCTGAAGAATGACAGGGCAGTAACAGACGACGTTGTACACTCAACATGGTCGTAACTGATCATGATCCCTCCAAACACTTCAGCCGCGTTTAGCCATTCCAGCTTGGGTGAGCCTCGGCGGATCTCATATTCGCTGAAACCTCCAGTTGGATTTTGCATCAGAAGCAGGCAGTCAACTGAGTCTTTAAGCCTCTCTGTTGAGATGAGTTTGGGATATCCGTGCAGTTCCTGAAGCTGCAAAGTCGACCTCAGGCCTTCAGCTGTGCAATCGCTGACTGTGTAGCCTTGCGTCTTGTTGCTGAAGGGCCATGCTCCCTTTCTATGCTGACGATAACATTTCTCCTGGTTCGGCACGTTCTCCCGGAGTTGATGATTATCTAAGAACTCAAGGGCCTTGGTGAGCATTGGCCGCCATTTGGGATCGTCAGCAAAGCCAGCAGTAACAATAGCCTGCGTAGCAAAGGCCGTATCCCAGACCTGAACGCCATTGGTGCCGTTTGCAAGCATTCCTTCGTTTTTCATCCACATGTACTCATGCAGAGTCTCCCGGTGGCGGCGGACAGATTCGCTGCCTTCCCCGTCGTGGACATAACAGGCCACAAAGTTCATGGGGTTGCTAACAGGAGCCAGTCCAGCATAATCCGTGTTTTCATCTTCCATACGGATCAGTTCCCAAGTCCAGCCCTCTGCGCGCTTGACCAACGACGACCAGCGAAAAAATGGAATCCACAAGGTGACCAAAAACCAGTTAAGGAGGTTCAGAATCCAGGTCTTCGGGTAGTAGTTGTCCGTGTCAGCAATCGAGCTGCGATGAGCAGCAAAATTGATAGTCTCGTACGGCTGCGTGTATAGCTCTTGTCGAAGCTGTTTCGTCAGCGGGTCCAGGGGATAGCTCCATCTCTTGGACCACAAATAGGACATGGGAAGAAAGACCTGACGGATATGAATCCACCACCGCCACGGCGCAAAAGGGACCCAGTCAGGCAGCAACCTGAGAAGTTCCAAAGTCAGAGAATGAGGCATGGAGGGCAAACAAGTAATGTACATACCAGAGCTCGGGAGGAACAGGGTTGACACAATCCCATTCCATCACGCCGAGAATGCTGAGCCAGAATTTCGCCCAGTGAGGTCCTTTAATGGCGCCTCCAAGTTTGTGCAAGAAACCTCGTGCCTTGACTAGGCGAGGGTCCTCTTCACTTACTCCCAGGAGGCGCAGCACTACATAATTCATCGCTGTGCCGAAGACCGAGCTGTGACCCTCAATGTGCAGCCCCCATCCTCCATCCACAGGATGCTGTCGAGCAAAGAGGTATCTCTTGATCTCGACGGCATATTCGGGAGGAATGGGCGTTTTGGTGACATACCACGTGATGACTATTCCTGGCAGCAGAAACATCGGACCACCATATTCGCATGCCCAGTTCCCTGGAGGCAATTGCAGTTTGGAGAAAAACTCGAGTCCATTTTCTGCAGCTTGCAATGGCGTTTTTGCGCGTGGGAGTTCAGGCAATCCCTGACAGCAAGATTAGAGTCTGCGAAGTGGGAACAGCACGTGAATGTAGCGGGTTTTACCGTTGGCAGTCCCAGAAAATATTTGTCTGCGACACTCTGGGGCCACTTTTCGTTTTCTTCGTCTGATTCCAAGTAATGCCATGTCTGGCGGCCGTCATCGTCGCGCAACCTCCATCTCGAATAGTCGGTCTTTTGGTCGCCATTGGCGTCGGTGGAAAGATGGCCCTCGGCGGAGGTCTTCCAAGGACCGATGTGGCTCTGGCTCTCCGACGTCGCTCCCATGCTGGCAATCCCTGTCAATTATATAGCTCGAGAGGATTCAAATCCAGAACCATCACGGGAACTGCAGATGAGAAAGTGGCATAATTAAATTGCGGAGTAGGAGCAGATAGCTGGCTGAGCTCAATGCGTCGCGGCTAAATTAGAGTTTACGCGGTGCGAGGATCCCTGCTGACTCATCAGGGGTAATCACATGTGTATGTGGAGAATTATCCAGTTTCATTACGAGCATAACTGCGGAGCATAACTGGATTTCCAATTTCTGCAATATACAAAGCATCTATTGTCCATACATGTGCATGTGCGTCGAGAAGGTACTTCCTTGTAAACGTCAAGAGGGCACGTAATGCTCCATCAAGAACCTGGGCCGAGTAACCTGATTGTCAGTCAAGCTAGGTCGAGACCGACGCGTCCCTAGGGAATATATTCGACTCTATCGAATCTCCTTGTGACCTTGTCAGAATGAATAGTGCTGTTATCTAATATTCTACTGACTTTCGATGACAAGGGCGCTTGAGGGAATGTAAGAAACACTGCATCAAAAGAGGCAATGTCACGAGACCAGCAGGAGACAACACCGCTGCTGAAGGCAGGAAAGCGGACTCATCTAAATATCTCTGCCGCCAGAGGATACATTACTTTCCCCTTGCTTTGCTTACTCGCAATTCTGGATTCATTCCCATTTCCAGCACTTTGAATTGATTGAATATATTCACATATCCATATACTACACCGGTCATGTCCTCTCCATCAGCTGGCGGCAGTCCAGCGACAGCAGAAGAACATGTCCACAGGTTCATCAGCGATCTCATAACTTCTATCCTGAGTGACCTAACGGGACCCAATGCGCGGGCATCCATCACGATCAAACAAAGATTCCAGAGAGGCTGTATATTTCGTCTTACTCCCTTCGACAAAGAAGGAGGGGGAGCCCTTGGGGTTACTGCCATTGGACCCGAGATCTACACGACGTATTCATGGCCCGGAAAGACCCTATATGAGACTTGGAAATTTAGTATGCACAATCCATAAGAAGTTCTGTCTTTTTTCTACGTGGCATGACATTGAGATGAAAACCTAGGTACCGCGCTGCGTGTCATTTCCTTGATCTACGCAACCATCGTGGAGGATTCCATAATTACAAAAAGGTGCCATTTGATCATCCACGGCTCAGCTTAGCAGCATATCTCCCCTTCTGAAACGGCTACTGACTCCGGAATGGAATGAATGGCTTTTTCAAGAGACATCTACTACAACGATCCGGCCCTGTTTGGCTCCCAGAGGGTGGTGGACAGGCTCGTCGACGATCTTGCCTACACGATTGGAGTGGATCGAGCTGCTTTGCATGTGGTATGTGCAGTATATATATCCCCCTTCAGGGACATGACATGTCATGGTACACACAAATGACTGATGAAAAATGGGTGAAAAAAAGACTTCTGTCGCAAAGGGCCTGACGGCAGGCTACTACCGCCTGACGACCAAAACCCAGACCTTGCTAGACATAGGAGAAGGATCATCATCTGAAGTATACAGAACAAAAATATTCGTTCAGGTACTTGTCGTCTTGCTTGCTAATTTTCAAACATTCAATATAGGATATTCTCATTCCGCGACCAGAAGATATCGACAGCATTGACATCTCGGAGATAAACTGGGTTCTCGTCATAGAGAAAGAGGCATGCAAATACTCCATATAAAGAGTATAACTTATCATTGATGCACCTGCCGAGCACATATCATATGTTAAGCCATTTCTATACCAGGCGGAACTAATCGAATTGATTTGTGCTGTAGGCAGTCCTGCGCAGGCTCGTCAGAAACCGGTACCATATGAATTCCGCCGCTGGAAAAGGGATCCTGATCACTGTAAGCCAGCTACAGCAATGCAACAATGCTTTTTCCCCTTCTTTCTGTATCTCCACATGCTCAACTGTATGGCCTGTATTTTTCCTTCTTTCCAGGGCAAAGGTTACCCCGATCTCTGCACTCGATCCTTCGTCCACCTTCTCTCCGAGACCGCACGTAGAAATGGCGATCCGCTGTCACAACCGGGCGTTGCGACTCCACGCTTCTACGCGCTGGTCGACGGTGATCCTGACGGGATGGCGATCATGTCCACCTACAAATACGGCTCCATGGCGCACGCGCACGAGAGTGCCCGACTGAACGCCCCGGGTCTGCAGTGGCTCGGCGTCCGCATTTCGGACTTGGTCGTGGAGGCGGAGACTCGGGGAGACGGGACCTTGATCCCCTTGACCTCGAGAGACTGGAAGAGGGCTCGAGCTATTCTAGCGAACAGTCCGGCATTTGCGGAAGATGGACCGGAGCTTGAGTGGCGGGCCGAGCTGCAGACAATGCTGATGTTGAACTTAAAAGCCGAGACCGAATTTCTATATGAAAGAGAGGGGGCTCTGGAAGGCTGGATTGACCAGAAAATGGTGTGGTAGATCGTCTTTCAACCTCTGTTGAAGAGCCGACTTTCATCTTCCCGGAATGCAGTTATAGAACAACAGTATGTACATGAGAAGATGAAAGAAATAAGGATATGGCTATTATCAATACGAAAAGTCTATGAACCAACCAAGGTATTATACTGCTCTCTGCGTCCAAACACAATAATGTCTGCCCTCGCCAAAATATGCGCCCGTTCCATGACCATTTCAATGCCCAAGACATGTCACAAAAAAGACGCACACGAAAAAAAGCAGAACTGTACCAGAACAGACAAAATGCAGACCTCTCTAGCTAGCTATGCCAAGTCCGACCAGCAGAAAGGAGTGGAAAAAAAGAACTCACAAACCCAACCCCCGTCTGACTTCCTCCCGGACCCTCTTCTCATACTCGCTTCGTCGCTCACGCCACATCTTGGCGGCCTCCACGTTGGCAGGACTCTCATCGTTGGGCTCCGCCAACATGCTCATGACGGAGATCAGGATCTTCTCGACGCTCTGGATGGGTGACCACCGTTCCGAGGCATGCTCATAGTGGTTTGGATCATCACCCGGAGGGTGCAGGATGGAAATGCAGACGGTGCCGTTGGGATATACTACAGAGGAGAGATGTTAGCCGAGTCCAGACTGAAACGAAGGCCAGGACTTAGGCAAGATAATATCGGACACACACAATGACTTACCATTCGGATGCCAGACACCGCCTCCCACGAATTTCATCGTTGGCGGACTCAGTGGATAGTCCTTTGGAAACTTCAGCTCTGCCGCAAAGACGCCCCCCTCGAACGGCGTGCCCTCAGGCCCCTGGATCAGGGCCTCCCAGTGGAACATGTCATCTTCGTTGACGGGGCCCGCGGTGATCCCCTCTGGCGGATTGGTGGATAGATTCTTGTATTCGTGGAACAGGCGCTTCTGCGCGACGCTTGCGGACATCGTTGGAGGTCGTACAGGTGATGCGTGAGACAAAATACCTGGGCACTCTGTCGGAGTATGTCTCTTCTAGTTCTAGAAGAGTCCGAGGATGATAAAGGCGGTAAAGCGACGAGAGGAGGCTGGAATCTGGATGAGGATGTACTGTACGGACTAGAGACAGCCCGATATGATAGATTTATGCTCCGCTGATCCCCAAAGAAACAGGTCGACTAAGCCTGTTTGATTGAACCCGCGCTCAATGAATGATGGGTCGATGCGGTCGGTATTTGTAGCCTCGGATCGCAAGGGAAGGTAGGAGACGGGCACCCCACACGCCACTGTTGGCAAAGCCGGTAACGGAAGGCGGTCAGAGAGGACTGATGGATCAGGATACAGGCCAGGGATAGTCATGTGACTGGATATTTGTCCAATTTCTCCCCTTCTTTCTCTTTCGCCCATTTTCGATAAAGATCTCATTGTTTCTCGTATATTCTTTGTGGTCTTTCATATAGTCTTCAGGAGAAGGAATAATTAGTCAACTCTTCTGATTATCTGATTACATAAAGTGGTAAAAGGAGTTGGATCTCTTGGCGCCAAGCTGTAGCCTTTTCGTGGCGGTGTGACCTCTGCGCTCCTATATGTATACCATACCCAATTAAGCAATGTAAAGCAATCCCAATCCATTATCACAAAAATGCCAGATATTCCACTATGCTCTGAGCACTGTATGCCAGGGAATTGATATTTACTGTGGGGGACACTGGAAGAAGATACAGGCCATGAGGGTCAGGCGGATCGCCTGGTATGAGCTGTCATGTATAGGTATCAGGCACAAGTCCCCTGTCCCTGATAAGTAAAAGAAGAAGCAGCGCGGTATCTAAGACATAGAGTACTTCAAACTGCTCAAGATTTCGGGCCAAACTTGTTGATTATAGTATACGATACATATATGCCAACTTGCAATTATCACACTATCCACTTGTGGATTGATAAGTTAGGATACCCCGGCCAGCGCTCAGTATAATGTGACATGCGTTTATCTATGTCTCTATCAGCGATATGTACAAAGGAAATAACAGACATGTCGCCCGTGAAATGCAAATGAACAAAAACGCCCACACTCCCCACATGCTCCATGTATATATAAAGCCTCAAATCTGTATAGTGTCAATTAAAGATTTGTACAGTCTGTTAAGTAGATAAGTTTTTAAAACCAGTCGTCTCCTTCTTCTTCTTCTTCCTCGCCTTCGAACTCTTCACCGCGATTAGCGCCGCCGCCTTGAGCCCAGAAATCCTCGTAACTCTCTCCCCAGAGCTCTTCATCCTTTTGCGGTTGGGGAGGTTCTTGTCGTTGCTCCCCTGGTAAGGAAGTCTGAGGGTCACTGTACAATCCTCTCCGCATGGCCTCGTAGCCTGCCATAGTACCGGCACCGGCAGCGCCCGCAGCAGCAGCTTCTCCCAGACTCCCAGCGGTTCCAGCTCTCCCAAGAGCGCCTGCGCCAGTCTCTCCGACAGCTGCTGCCTCTGCCGCTCCTGCTGCCTGACTAGCGGCGGCTGCTTCAGAACCGGCAGCTGCAGCTCCGGCTCCGGCTCCAGCAGCCCCAGCTTCGCCCGCTGCTGCACCACCTGCAGAAGCCTCGCTGCCTACGCCGGGGAACCACAGGGGCATGAACCCTCCACCAGCGTGACTGTGGCGGCTAAAGTAATCAAAGTCAATGCTGACAGCGGTCGCCAGCATCACAGCACGTTGGTCAAGGGTCATCCCTGTGAAATTCCCAGTATATGCGGTAGGGGCCTGACCCGTCTGGGAGATGAGATGCCGCTGTTCCCTTTCTTCTGCCAAGGCGGCAGCATCCATCCTCAGGGCATAGACGCCGGTGTCGGTAAAAATTTCGCGGGCGAATCCAGTGAAGTTGCGATTGACAGATCCAATGAGGCGGTTATCTGCCGACCGGAGAGAGAAATCCCACGAGAGGAAAGGTTCATCGACGTATGCAAACTGATGGTATTCTCCCCCGGTGTTCTGACCCCCAGAAGCGTGGAGCAACTGCGTTTGCTGAGGTTGTGAGAGCGCATCACTTGAGATCGGTTTGGATCCCATGTCAGTCTGTGAGGTTGGCGTAGGGTGGAAGATAAAGAGATCGTATTTCCGTCGCAGGGGAGCCCATCGTTGCTGCGCCTCGCCGACGACACGCATATCTTCAATTGCGAGAGGCGATACTTTTACATTCGATCCACCCGCAACCGAGACCAGTGCAGTGGGAGAGGCGCCTTGGAGCGTGCCGGAAGGCGAGTATGAGGGATTGGCGAGTTCCAGAGGGTCATAGACGCGAATCCGGGAGTTGATCCATGCGAACGGACGATGAAACTAAATCAAGCCCCAAAATGCGTTAGCATAAATAGAATCGAAAGAAAGAAAGAAAGATCTTTACAATTGCCGACATACCCGGAGGACCTCATTCTCGTCCTTGTCAAACACATGGGTGACGAAACTCCGATGCGTGCGGAACCACTGTCGCGCCATCATGCTTCCAAAACCGCTCTCTTGCTCCGCCATGTACCCTACATGATTCCCGTTTGCATCGAGAATGACATAGCGGTTTGCTTGTTCAAACCCGCTAGAACCCAACCTCGTCAGCGGACATGTTTGTTCCAGGCAAACCTAGGACTGTTGCGGGGATCGACGTACAGCATGACATTCATCAGCTCCAACTGTCTTTGAACCACCAACCCTGAATTCGCCAGGATCTTTGCCGCAGGATGCCGCTCTTTGAGGATTGCATTTGGGTCTTCGGGTATATGTACGGGCGACAGGAGACTGTTCTGCTCGGGACTGGTGTCGCGAAGGGTCGAGGACAGGTATTCGTAGTTCGAGGAGAGCTGTTCTGGCGGGACATCTGAAGGCGCATTCTTCGGCGAAGAACGGTTTCTGGATATTGGCTGAGGAAATTCTCTGCGCCGTAACGTGTTTCGAGGGCCGCGAAGGCCTGCTGGTATTCTGAGCGCTCTGCTGTTCCTGTTCACCCACCGTAGGGCGGGCGGCCGGAATTGCCTGCCCCACATGATTCAAACCCTCGATATCCCAATTAAACTATGTTTAGGGATACGAGCGTTGTAAAGAGATCGAAAGTTTGGGATCAAAAAAGGACGGTTAGCGGTGGCGGAAATGTTGCGGCAATGACGATGGGTCGATCGAGCTTCCGCGGGGTTAGGCGGAGATAATGTCATCGTGATCGCCATCGCTGCAGCCTTACTCCGGAGTATAGAATCCGCAGAACAGAAGCATGGAAAACGCCAATAATAATCTAGATTTTATATATACACAGCTTATACGGGCCATTAATCTATTTGACATGCTTTCGTGCTTGTAGGTTGACAGTATATGCTAGAGGCAGAAGAGAGAAGAACCATAGAAACCAAGAACGCCAGATCCCTCTTTATTATTTATAGACAGATAGACCATATCAATTAAACGACCTGCATCCCAAAAAATATCTAATCCAGAAAATGCAGCTTCACATCATAGCATTCCCTTCCGAGCCAATTCAATTTTCCTCTTTGCTTCGCCAGGCTTCCAGCCGCCCTTGGAGACACAGATGGCGCTGCCTTCACCGAGCTCGACTTTGTCCTCGACATTCGGATGCGGACACGGGCAGTGGTGAGGGAAGTGAACGCAAGCAAGAGTGCCAGGGCAGAGGTATCTACTGCATTGGGCTGGAGGGAGTTGATATCCGTTAGCAACAGGCTCAGCATGTGGATGAACGCAAGTATGTGCATGTATTCATTGTAGAATGCAGGTATTAGAAACAACATACCTCCCTCCCATGTTCGCTGGTACCATGAGCTGTCGCTTGAAACGTCTTGCTGGTGATGATGTTCCTCTTGATGGCCACCGCCAAACATGTGCTCGAAGAATTGGAACTGGGCCTGCGCAGCTGAGATGAAGAGTAGCAAAGCCCAGAGGGCGGCAATCGATTTGGTAAACATCTTCGAGAATTACAAACTGAAAGGGAGTAGCGACGAAGAGCGTCTTTCAGTTTATGATTGTCCTGGTTGTCTTGATCTTAATCAAGCCAAGTATCGAATAGCGGTAGCACGTGACCCAGCTAAAGCCCAACGCGCCAGCTCCGACATCCTCGAAAAAAGTTCCGCTGTCCGAACAATCAGCGAGAAACACCACAACTGGTAGCAGAGTCCCTCTCTCCTCATTGATTTATCCGAGGGGGTTCTGCACACCGCTCCAATGCTGCAGCCCAGATTACGGGCATCCTTCCGGGTGCTCGAGCGAGCATTCGCTCCCTCGCTCCTGTCCGCTCATCAACCGGCCTTCCGGGGGGTACCCTCGTCGGCATCAGCAATTACTGCTTCTGCAACAGCATTTTCCTCGCCATCCTCCTCCTCCTCTTCATCAAGCTCCTCTCTTCTTCGTCTCCTCCTCCCACGCTCTCAATTGCGATACGCTTCCCATGCTTCCCAAGGTGCCGCCAACCAACACGCCCGTGACCCTCCCGGCAAACGTCTAGGCGCGAAGAAAACCGGCGGCGAGTACGTGATCCCCGGAAACATCATATACCGGCAGCGAGGGACGAAATGGTTCCCCGGGGAGAACTGCGCGATGGGGCGGGACCACACCATCTACGCGACCGAGGCGGGCTATGTGAGATACTACCTGGACCCGGAGCGGCATCCGAAGCGGAAGTATATCGGCGTCTGTTTCGAGAAAGATGGGACATTGCCCACGCCACGGAATGCACCGACCAAGCGGCGATTGAACAGGATTGCGGTGCCACGCCAGGTGCAAGTCTCGCAGACGTCTGTCGAGTCGTCGGTCACTACTGCCGGGGAGAACGGCGAGGCTACGCAGCAGGAGAGCATTTCCGCCACGAAGACGGAGCTGCAGTTGCGACCGGGATACATGTACCGTGAGGCGAACTGGGAGATTGGTCGTGCTGCTGAGAAGGCCGGTATCAAGGTTAAGGAGTTCGACCCCAAGAACCGTTGGCTGGCGTGGAGGAAGAGGAAGGCTCGTGCTGAGCGCGCGGCCCAGATGAAGAGCTTGAAGAAGAAGAAGTCGAAGAAGTAATCGTTCAACCTAAGGTCTGGATTACTACAAGGGTGACACCAAAGAGCGTTTCATTTATGGGATGTTGGTTGTACGTATTTATTGTATGTATCATTAGAAAACAGATCCGGCAAAAAATCTCATATTTACACTTTCCACTTTACTACACCACTTTAACCTGTAGCGTCTCGAGGGAATCATCCACAGTGCTCCGTACCCTGTACATGGCAGGATGCATTGATACTCTAACTAGCATATCAAGACGTGAAAAACGATGCAAATGAAACAAACACATGGTAATAATGACAATGACATGACAAATCAACATAGGGTATCCTTATCCTTATCCATTCCTTCCTCCGTTCCATCGTTCCATGCTGTTTAGTGCATGGTATGAACTCCTAACAGTAGACCTTCAAAGAGAGAAAAAAAAAACATAGTAAAACAAAAAGCTGACATAGACCACAAAATCACACACTTCATGAACGGTAACTGATGAATAAATCGAGTGACTCGCCCAGCATTGTGTTTTTAGTTGACTAATCACGTCAATTCCTCACATAGCCTCCCCAAGATCAGACTCTGGCAGACAAACTCATTGCCCACGATGCGGATCTTCTTCTCCAGAGGATTGACATCACTCCCACCGATGCATTCGACCAGCATGGAGCCCCTCTTCCGCTTGCGCCCAACGCGGGAGATGAGCTTCGCGGCCGCACCACCGACACCACCGGTGGTGGACTTTCCTAGAATCATGGCCTTCGCAGCGGCTTCTTCGTGGTCGTCGACGTAGATCCAGTCCCATCCAGATCCCTGTCCATCCTGGCGGCGTTCCTGCAGAGCAGCTTGGGCGGCTTTCAGGTCAAGGACACGCTCGACTCGAGAGGCACCGAGCGCGTACGTCAGGAAAATGTAAGCCTTTCTTTTCTCCTCGGCCTTTCCGCGGCCCATCACTAATAGCACCGATTGGCCGTCGAGCAATTTCGGTCGCCCAGCTATGGTTTCGGCCAAGCGCGCTGTGTGAGCAGGAATCGGGGTCAGGATTCGCGATTTGACGGCTCCATAGAGATACTTCGATTCTCCGGCCGGAAGAAGATATGTCTCCCAGTCCAGAATCTGGTTTTGGCGGACACAGTCCTCTACCCATCGTCCTGAAAGACAGGGGATATTCAGGGCCAAGGCTTGCATGTATTTCGCGCGACGGGAATGCTTGTCGGCAACCAGACAAGCAAAACCAACGGATTCCGCGCTGCTCGAGAGACGGAACTGCTTTGCATCTTCCGTGGTGTGCGCTGCAGCGGGTGATTTGGAGGGTGTGGCCGACGGAACACTCGAAGGGAATTCGAACAATTCTTCGAACCCATCTCTCAAAATGCGTCCACCATTTTCCGTGATCAACTTCGTGACACGAGACTTGGCATCTTCTTGCTCCACAAAGGAAACTGCAAACACCATCCCCGCGAAAAGACCCGTCTGGGTAAGTAGAAGACTACGAGACAGTCGGGATGCTGGCGATACTGGAGTCAAATGGTGTCTAATCGGCGTCTGAAGCCTCGATGATAACTGGTCGAGTTTAGGAATGTTGAGGGTAAACTGACGATCCTTCAGCTGATTCCATAGAATCATATCCAGGTAAATGCAGGAAATAGGAACCGCAATTGTCCGCTCAGGTTCGGGAACACCGCCGCTCGGAAGACTCTTTCGCTGTTTAGCCGCCAGTATAACAGTGGAATGCCCGTAGACATCTGTCACAGGCCGGAATCCGTAACCGTCTTCCTTCGAGAGCTCCTCCATTCTCAGCTTGCCAGAGAATCCTCGCACGATATGAGTGACTCTTGGAACATTGGGATATTCCACCTTGACTCCATCTCCAACACGCAATTCTAACCTTTTCACTGAACTAACAGGGACCTCAACAGGGCCACTATCCACAAATCTGACCACATAGCGTTGCTGGCTACTACTACCTATCGTTTTTAGGTATGTAGCAGGGTAATACGCACGCTTACGGCCATTCCAGAACGCAAATACTTGATTCGGCGCACGCATCTCTTCTTGGGGAGCAGGAGTATGAACCTCTGAATGGTCTCCAACCTGCTGAGCTTCGACCGGTTGAGCCTCGGTTGGAGCAGCTTCCCTAGGGCCACTTCCCGCTGGGATATCTTGGGAGGATTTATCTGTCTGTATGGGATCTGGACTTTCGCCCCTTCTCGCAGGAATAAGATCGCGTTGGTTATGTACCACAACTTGCGGCACGACAGAAGGCTTTGAAGGCCTTCTTGCCTCGGTGGATCGTGATTCTGAGTAACGAGATACCCGAGGCCGTTGCGAAGCGGCTGTTTTCGATGCAGGATTCTGTGGTGATAGCTCGACTTCCCAGACAGTTTCAGCTCGCCTGGATGGTTTGGACCGCTGGCGTCGCATAACACTAGGCCCAAACGTCGGTTCCGTTGACTGACTATCGACTGGCTCAGCCTCGCTCTGGGTGACGTGGTTATCTGGTCGGTGAAATTCCGGTCTCGGCGTTACAGGCCAAGCTGGATCAGAGGCGATATTTTGGCCGTCATTGCCTCGTCGTTTCTTCTTGGGCGGCAGGGGAGAAAAGCCGACAACTGATCTGAATTCTCGGTCTTCTGCCGAGAGAATATTGAAATCCATATCGAAATTGCCCGTGCCAACTTGTGGCGATGCATCCGCAGCGATCTCAGTGAGAGCTCTGCGCTGTTTTCCGCTTGGACTCGAGAGAATTTTGGCATTCCGCAAAGACCTTGTTTTCCCATCCTGGTCACCGGAATTGAATTGGTTGCTGTCATCCCAGTTAAGTTGATGACGAGGAGGGGGTAAATCGTCGTCCTCCTGCATTGCTGGCTGGCTACTAACAGGGGCATCCATCGAAGTCTCCTGTCGAAGATTGTTTGGACTCGATTCTGGGATAAAGATTGTGTCTCCTGATGTTTTATGTACTGGCGTATCTGCGACACGAGAGGGCATAGACGAGTGCTTCTCAGACACATGCACATTGCTTGACTGAGGATTTTCTTGTTCCGGGTCATGTTGGAGGCCCGGACGTTTCTCTGGGGGAGAAGAAGTGATCAGCGCCTCTGCTGGAGGAGACGAGTACACTCTTTCTACATCAGGGTCAAGGCCTGCTTGGGACCCCTGCTGTGATTGGCGCGATTCCATGATTGTACTTCTCTGGCTCCATGGCCCATTGCCAGCGTGGAGGACCCGCTTCTCCATTTGGCTCGGAGAAGTTTGAGAATCTCGTACGTTGATCACCTGGGATGATGTAGGAAGCTGATCAAACCCTGAAGTATGATCGTAGTTGTCTGCATGCTTAGGCGACGTTGCAACTTTATCCGCCGGAGGCGTGTGAAGAACCGAATGGCTTTCCTGAAGATCCAAAGCTTGTGAGAGTCGGTCGTGTGCACGAGCTGTTGATTCCGGAATGCGAATCGGAGGCACATCGTAATTTTCTTTGTCTTCTTCAGTCGAAGACAGCGGTGGTCGAGACTGGCTCGTAGGTGGGACAAAATCTTCTTCTTGTTCCGTCTCTTCTTCGCTAGTTCCACCACCTTGAAAATGAACATTCGATCCTTGTGTCTCATCAACTGTTGTTGCAATCACAGATTCACTGCCGTGAACCCTCCCTCTTCGATCTCTACTTGGCGACGTCCTCGAAGGGGACGGTTGCTTTTCTGGTCGTTGCGAACTGGACCTAGCAGGGGCTGTAAGGTTGGCAAACTGAGCATTAGTTTCTTCATCGATCCTCCTCTGCCGATTGAGACGCTGGACGAAACTTGGCTCTCTCTCGAACTCGCTATCACTCTGGTCTTCAGAACTGAGATTGTCCGCAGAGCGGGTTCGTCTTTCTTCAATGATCTTCTCGCGCTTCATCTGTGATTCTTTCGTTGAAACATAGTTTGCAAGCGGTTCGGTATAGCCACGACGTAGACCGGAACTGGGAGCCCGGGACGGTGAAGACATCGACGTTCCTAGCGGCCGACTCTGAATAGGAATATTCGGCGAGGGGCGATCCGACAATGGTTCGGAAGGCAGCCCGTTGACAAACGGCGAGGAAGGAGCCTGGGTCGCCTTGAAAACCTGGCTAAGCGCCATAAGACCGCCACTGGATCCTCCATCGGATGCGAGGGGGTTTCGAGGAAGGGACGGAGTTGTTGTTGTTGCCAACTTCGGAGTATCGTTCTGTTTCTCAGCCGCTGCGGGCGTCGTCACGAATCGCTGGGACTCGGGGAAGAAGTTGGCCTGATGCGGTAGAGGAGAGGATTCTCCCACTTTAGAGGTAGAGCCATCATCATCCTGGTCGGAGTTCTCATTGCCGGCCTCGGTTTCTCCAAACCCAGACAACAAATCGATATGGCCGGAGTCTCCTTCACGCAGAGTCATCCGTACTGTCCCTTCATCATATCCCATGTCGACATCGGCTTTATTTTCCTCCTGAAACGGTTGAAACATGTCTCGCTTGATAATGCTGTCGAAAACAGACTGGGAGACCGGCTGTGTGTCGCCGGGGCCGCTGTCTCCGGAACTCATCTTGCCAAACGCCGGCTTGGGATGGCTGTATAGAGGCTCTGTCTGGGAGGACGTCTTCCTCGGACTGGTCACATTCACATTATGCGGGGGGTTTTGCGGCACAGGGTTAGCCCCATGAACGGCAGACTCCGAGACTCGACGAGAAGCAATTTCCTGGCCGGCAGGATGTCCGTCATCCCCAGGGTCTTGCCTAACGGATTGGGGACGACCCTGAGTGTTGTCACTGTCTGAAATATGGGTAGAGGAATAGGGATAGCGCTCGTTCACAGGCGGCTCGGAGGAATCACTTTCCTAAGCGATTATAGGCGACAAAGTTAGCGCTTCGACAGGGAAGCATACGCCACAGAATAATGAGCACGTACAGCGAGGCCTAACGCGAAACGTTTCAATTTTGCAATGTCGATACTGTCTTCCTGGGAATCCATGGCTCTACTAGCCCGTGACAAGAGCACTACACAGGCTGTTAGCCATGCCTCGAGTCCCCCAATTCTTCGCTTTTTTGTTGCACGAGGACCTCCATGGGGCCGACCAAGATGGATCCGGTAATATGAAGTCCTCAGGCTGACGCGAGACGCGTGAAACACGTGACCGAGTCGCGTCGGGCTGTAATAATTGTTACCGATCAGGCTTAGCGGCTTCATTAAGGTTGCTGCAGAGAATGGGGCCCCTTACTGCTGTATACAAGACTACACAATCAGCCAAAGCGAGACTTTTATCCATTTACGGCATTTGTTATTATTTATCATCAAGATCATCATATCCATTTTATGTACAGTGGGTCAATTAATTATATTTACAGAACAGTCCATTAAATCCATCGTATCGAGGCGTTAATCTCGAGTGCGATTCGGCACCCATCGCCTTATAGTCATTTCCCTGACCTTGTACTGGCGTAGGAATGTTCCAATATCGTCCGGGGATACGGCTGACGGCGGTGGAATGTCCACGAAACACAGCACCAGGGTTTTCTTCACCTGGGCCTGCACGCGGTTAACACAGTGCAACCACCACCAACTGCGCGCCTGCTTCTGGGCAGCTCGTTCTCTCCGCTCTTCCGTAGCAGCCCAGTAAGGATGCTCATATGAAGGGAGGATGACGACTGCATATTCTGCGTGGGCGAACACAGGTCCTCGATTGTATAGCAAGTAGTCGACTCCAAATTTCACGCCTGATCGCACAACCCAACCGAGAGAGCGGAAGTGATGATACACCACATACGACAGCATGAATGGATCATCAGGCACAATATTCGCGGTTGAGTCACGCGGAGGGAAAAAAGAGTGCTGGCAAAATAGCTTTAATAGGGAAGCTGCAGATAGGATGGGCTTGCCGGTGTCATCAACGACTCGAAGAACCCCCAGACCATATACGAGGAAGAAGGCCTCTTCGTTTGAAAGCTGTAAGTGCTCCTGATTGATCAATGGTTCCTCGATTGTTTCTTGATGGCCAGTCGCTGGCTCAGGGATGGGTGTGGTGATTTCAGATTCTGAGACAAATTTCTTTTCCTCGACGATCGGAGAAAAACGGACAGTCTTGGTGCCGTTGGGCGAGCGTCTGTCGACGGAGCCGTTGGTTGCATGGTCACCTACTTCCTGTGCAACGGTCTTTTCTTGTGTCTCTTCCGCCGCCTCTGCTTGGCTAGCTGGTGACTCTGCGGTTTTGTCCAACGGGCCATCGGCAGACGCATTAGTTGTGCCATTTTCAGGCTGCGATTCGGCGGCCGCATCGGGTTGAGGAACAATGCCTTGCTTGGCGGCAGTCTCCTCTTTCAATCGCTGAGAAATGGCTTCTCTTTCCTTCCTCGCTCGCTCCAGCTTCCACTCGCGTCTCTCGGCTCTTCTTTTCCCCGTTGCTTCCTCGCTCGTGAGCTCTCCGAGCAGTCCTCGCCTCTTCTTCTCACGTTCTAGCCAGCTGGGCTCGCTTCTGCTCAAACTGCCCTTGCCAAAGAATCCCATCTCCCACAGAGCTCGTATCGCCTTTTCATCCGTGACATGCACAGAAGAGGTGGCCGAGTCAAAGTAGGCAGAGTAGACTTCATGGCGAGGGGGCCAAACCAGGCTCGTGAGGTACGCAAAAAGGACGCTGATTACGGAGAGAGGATTGTGAGGAATCAGAGGAGGGAGCGGGTGGACACTGAGAGGAAGGGGGAAGCGGTGGATGTGGTTATAATTCGGTCTTTGAGGTCGAGGACGGCGGCCATTCTCTGGCCCAGATTTGGTGTCGATGGAAGTGGAAGGGGGAGTTGAAGAATTTGTTGTAGATTGTGAAGTCATTATCGTAAGGTCATCATTCATCTACTAATATGGTGATTGATGCTAGACACAGGCACGAGTCAGTTTGATGTAGACAGTCAGAGAGAGAAAAAATTTTTTGTTCTTCTCTACTCAGATACCGTTGTAGTCTATTTCGAATGCCAACACCGACAAATAGCAGAAATCAAAAGCCATTTGTCTAGACATTGGATATAGGTGTCATCATAGAGAGGAGAGCAACCTTCAGATCATGCAAGCGTGAATGACGACCAACAACTCACCAAGAAAAAAGGTCTCTGCCAGGAGACCTTCCTAGTCCCGTAGTGAAAAGTTCACATAAAAATTATGTACTTCAGCCAGAGATGACATAGCACTCTCCTCTCATAGAAGTAGTTAGTTCACATCTGCAGCAGCAGATCAGTCGATCTTTTTATATTCGCCCAGTTTTCAAAAAAGGAATTAAAAAATGCTTTGGGTGGCTTGGGCGGAAAGAAAATTGTAGTCAGACGCCGCTGCAGCTAGCCGCTAAAAACGCACTCTTAGTAACGGGTGAGCAACCATGCCGTCAGCAATCCACCAATCAGGATTTAGGAGGTCCCAGAGCGGTGTGTGCTGCCACCCGCGAGTGCCAGAAATTTCTCCGCACGAGTTCAGAGCAAGCAAGTTCACAGCAGTCGTCCTGCATCTTCTGATAATCAGGCATTCGTCCAGGCCTTCAGGAAAGAACCAGGCAATTACATTTTCTGCGGAGGAATCTTTAACAAATCGCCGTCAAGATGCATCTTATGGTACGTCCCTTGTCTCCAGATCTGATATCATTTTCTTCGACGACCCTTGAATTCATCTACAACAGACAATGCTGACTACTGCCACAGTACATCCTCGATGAAAACGGCAAGCGCATCTACACCCTGAAAAAGGTCCTGAACGGGCAGGTCACCAAGTCTGCTCACCCTGCTCGATTCTCTCCCGATGACAAGTACTCGAGGTGAGTATATATATAGGGGAATCTTTAGCGTGATGATGATAGATAGGATTTATGCCGACTGACACGTACCATAGGCATCGTATCACCCTGAAGAAGCGATACGGCTTGCTGCTCACGCAACAGCCGAGTACGTTGCCCTCTCCCTCCTGCCATCGACAATGCAAACCGCACAGTTACTGACTTGCGCCACCCGCAATAATTACAGACAAGCAAGCCTGGAAGCAGTGAAATCTGATTCCTACAACAAAACAAAAAAGTTCGGGAACTGCATTGAATAGGTGGATTTTTTGATGAATTGCTGTTTAATTTGTTCTGGTTCTGGCGAACGGTGTTGTGCGCTTCATACCCGCATGTACTGTACGGTCCATACTCGGGAAGGTTCTGAGTGAAATTTATTGTTATACCAAAATATTACCCTGTGGGGATCTGCTGTTTGTTCGAAAATTGGTCTTTCCTCGACATAGGAACTGAATATAAAGATCATCTTTGAAATATGCCTCTTTCATAAATGAAAACAATGCCTATTTATCTTATCGTTCATCACTGAGATGAAGACTGATAAGAAAAAAAAAGCAAAACTATGTACCAAATCTGTCGATATAATAATCCACTTTTTATACCGTAACGCCAATTTTTCCTCCCAAATGCAACAGAAAAAGAAGAAAAAAAAAAGTCAAAGCATTTATCTATTTCATCGTCGCTTTTTCGCATTCACGTTCCTGCCAGCCCCGACCTTAATCCTACCGCCAGGAATCTTGTGTCTCTCCCCCGACAGAATACTGGGCAGGTAGTCCTCGTCCATAAGATCGTGCTCATTGCGGAGCTGTCGCTGCTGGTCCTTCACCGCTCGGATATACTCCTTCTGATCCTCCGCCAGGATGAGCTCCGTGCCCCATCCGCCTTTACCGCCGCCGCCGCCTTTCCACTTGCCGCTGGCGTTGCCGGGCACCGGTTTGGGGATGCTGTACCTGTTGCCGCGGTTGTTCCACTGCATGTTCTTCTTCAGGTGCAGCTTGAACTGCCCGTTGGCGTCCGTGGTGCAGGACACGCGGGTCAGCGTGTCTTTCCCGCAGCGCGGGCAGAATTGCCTGTTCATTTCCTTGGTGGTGCAGAAGCAGGCGTGGCAGCGCTTGATGTACGTCTTGAGATGGCGGATCCTCTGCAGGGTTGTCGGAGAGAGGAGGTTCAGGTTCATTTGAAGCAGGACGTTTTGACACTTCAATCGTATTAGTGGACAGGGCCAGGATCGTCCGTATTGTGGATACTTACAGCAAAATCGGTGGTCATTGTCGCAACCTGCATGACTTTGGGCTCTGGCGTTGCCGAGGCAGAAATCCCCTCGTCCTGGGCCTGCCGCTTCTTGATATTCGACGGAGTGATCCAGCCTTCCGAGTCGGAATCTTCGGGCTCGTCTTCCTCCACTTCAGCTTCAGCTTCAGCTTCAGCTTCTTGAGCTGGTGCAGGAGCGGATTCGTCTGTCTGTTCTGCGGAGGGAGTGTCATCTGCAGGAGCGTTCTCCGAATGATCCTCACTGGGCTTGGGATTCTCGTCCAGTGTGGTTTTTTCCAGATCTTTTGCGACTTCGTCCACCTGCGTGCCATTTGTATTCCCGTCTTCAGCCTTCTCTTGCGTATCAGCTGGCTCCGACTCCTCCTTCTTCTCCTCGCCCTCCTGCTGCTTCTTCTCCTCCTCCTTCCCCGGAGGCTTCCCATTCAGACCCTTCTGGCCCGGGACGCTCCGCAATCTCCAATCACCGCCATTTCGCTCGCACTCAATCTCGTACGCCAGCGCCAACACCTCGATATCGACCTTGCTCAGGACGGGCCGGTCGCCGGTCTTGCGGGCAAATTCGCTGAGGACACTGATGCTCTTCGCAGTCGGGGTCCGCTGCTTGAGGAAAGGCATATACATCGTCTCGATTCGGGAGCGCGCATCAGGATCACGGATTTCATTGATCACAGATGGCGTGGTGACGAGCTCTTCGGCCTGTGCGAGCAAGGACGAGAGCGGGGGGACGTTCTTGAGGAGGGGTCCGGCGTCGAGCACGAGGGTGTGAACCGGTTTGGGGGGAGCTGCCGTTTCCGCCATGGCTGGCAGGGGACTCGAAAACTCTTGTAATTAAAAAGACAAATTCCAAATTTCTCAAAACGAACTCATCGGCGGGCAGTTGGCGATCGCTGCAGCTGCGTGATGCAGGCCCCTCGAAATTTTGCAGTGAAATTCCGATTTTCGTGGATGGTCTGTGCGTTAAGCTTATCTTATCGGTCGACAAACAGTACTTCGTAGAGTAACTTCGATGTAGATGCAATCTTCCTAGAACAGCAAAAAAGGAAGAGGTTCTAAGAATGTTAGGATAAGCTTTTGATTTTAGATGTTGGTGCTATATACGTCATGAATTCCAGCGTTAAATTCACAGCTCTTGAAGATGGGTTGATTGGGATTGTGCACTCCTACTGAGCATGACAAATATATATAGAATGGGAGAGTACAGACTCACAACCTGCAATTGTTTGGTTATCTGCGCGTCTTATGTCTGTTTTAGTATGACTCACTGTTCCTGTTCAAGGTTGGGTGATTTAAATCGCGGATTTTTCCTCGTATATGTTGGCACGCAGTGTGATAGGTGATCGTCAATGCAAACCCTTTTACTACAGTCTTCCCTCTAAGACAGAAATATGCGAAGAAAATATCCATTCTGTAAGCAGGACAAACACATACTATGATTTTTCATTTCAAAAAAGTGAGTGATATAAAAAAGCTCACACCGGGGTCCTCCCTCCCGGGACCCGCAGGTGCTACGAAAACCCCCACCTTGCTTTTGGCGGGCAGGAGTTTTACTAGACCAATTTGTTTCTTTTTTAAGTAAATTTGGGTCAGAGACCAGAGGGAGATTCGAACCCAGGCCGTTCATCGGACTGTTAGTAGGTATAAGAGACTTAGGCTGCTTAACCACTGCACCATCGCAGCCCGGGTTCGTTGATGGGTCTCTTTGTTTTCGGGTTATATGCCTGGTGTTTGTTTGATTGGGTTGCTTTGTTTGTTTGTCTGTCAGCTTGCACGGGGGTTGCCGGCAGGTAAGTGCCTCAGTCGCGCACTCGATGAGACCAATTGCCTGTTAGCCTCTGGGAACAACACGATGGTGCCGTATCTACCTTGTCAGGATGCATTCTAACGACCAGCCTAGGTTTCTGTCGATGTTACAGGCAACCAGATATTATATCAGACGTGACTATACTGTCTAGTGATGACTATCAAAGACGACGAGGTACAAGGTGAAACTCCCTTATACACCCAGAAACGCCTGCAATAGACTGATTTCGCGAACTTCAGATCAAGACTTCTTTCATACGGTTGAGGTTCTTGTGCGACGTTTCAGGCGAGGGCAGAACGCTGACAATTCCCATAAGTCTGGTCTTTCCAACTACTGTCTTTCTGTTGGTCTAACTTCTTGGCCAGAATAGATCAACTTCATCACTGTCGACAGAGTGTTACTTCTATCCTTTCTATAAGGTCATCGTCATCATCTCCATGACAATTTGACGCCAGGATTTGTCATGGCTTCGGACAATTTCTGTAGAAGTGGTCGATCAGTCACATCTAGGCAAGAATATATATCCACATGAAGCAACAGCAGATGCATTCTCATGCCTCCCGAGATCCCGGTACGCTAATGATGCAATGTATAATTCAGAGTCTGGTATCTAGAATGAATGGATGGACTTTCACGTGAGTGAGGGCGAAGGGAAAGACGATTTGTGGTACAGTATACCTTACATAGGTCACAATTGATCTGCAGCTTACTTATTCAGCTACCAACTCAGCGAGGAGCCGTTATTGACCGCATATACTCCGGATCACCGAACGAATAGCTGAAAACCCGAATAATCCGTCTCCACTGCTCCCTCGATAGGTACAAAATAAACTCCCCCCGGTGGGGAATGCCAGTGCCCTAGACACTCTAGCAGGGCACTAAGATCCCTTGCGTCGATCATCCGCCCGGCCACGCTTATGCTCGTACGTCAATCCAGCTTGCATTTATACCACGCCACCCAAGGTGACAGACCAGTCAAGAAGGCGCATCGCCTAATTCTTCAGTCGATCAAGTGCGGAGCGCTCCGTCCGCCCTACGCTAGATCGCTGTTCTAGCTGTGTCGTGAGTCATGAACATGCCGGATGAGACCAAAAACTACCTGTTTGGGGAAGCCATCGGACCGAAAACACCGTGAAGCGTTTGCTGCGTTTCAAGTTTTTTCGAGTCCGATCGGTTGTCCGTTCCGTTGGGTAGGATCGTCACGCGGAGATCTGGCAATCGGAACGCGTTTCTCTTTGCTTTTTCTGCCCAGTGTACTGGTCCTGCGCAGTTGATGTAACTTGCCTGAGAGAGGTCTACATGGAATGATCCAGATGAATTGTGATGTCGATGTTGTTGTTCTCAGGTGGAGTCGCACTGTCAACCCCCTCAACGCATCTGCCCTCGAGAGACAGGTAATTAGATAATATCGATTGCAACGGTGGGTGCCTGTTAACTTAATTTTGCGAGAGGGTTATTATTTCCTGGCTTTCCTTGCTGGACTCAGGCCAGTCTGTCCCCATTTCCCGGAATCCCTTGCTGGGATGTTGTCCTCGAGAGAACAACAAGCCTGTTGCCCCGGCTTTTTGATCAGCCACCACGATAGTGACAAAGCCACCGACGAAGGAACTTGGGGAGAAAGCGTCTGATTTGTGCGGCTTGGATATTGAGTTCGGATACGCAGATCATGATCGCTGGTGGCACCGTGCAAGCTTCCCATGGCCCGATTCTTATATACGATGCTGCTGTTAGGTATGCGGATCATCTGGAATCTGTCTACTTTGTCTCAATCTTATCCATGAGAAAGCAAGTTGGACCGTCGCAAGAGAGTCCTCACTCTTAGAATTGGATCCTCTCGGACGAAGAACGTTGGGATTCGAACAAAATGGACACGGTTAGCCATGTCATTCTCCCTCGAGGTGATGACACACCTATATCGCCTCGATCAGTTCAAGCAGTGGTTGTCAGTGTTGTGTTCACGACGATGGCGACATGCCTCGTCAGTGCACGTCTCTATACGAGGATTCATATCATCCACCGGATCGAATCGAATGATTTGATGGTCATTGCTGCTTTGGTAGGATTCTTCCCATCGCGTTTCTATCAAGTATTAACACTTGACAGGTATTCTCTTTTGTCTTCATGGGGTTGTTCATTGCAGGTATTACAAGTCTTGCAGCTGCTATAATACACAACTAACAGACATTCAGAGGCAAAATACGGCATGGGCAAGCACATGGCGGACATCCCGCCAAAGATTCTCACCAAGCAGATGAAAGTTAGTATACACATCCAACCAGCAACACAACACACCTGTTTTTAACAACCCTCATTACAACAGGCATTCTGGCTCACCATCCCCTTTTACAACGCAGCAGTCATCTGCGCCAAAGCCTCGATTCTGCTGCAGTACTTTCGCGTCTTCCCGACAAAGAGAATGCGCATCGCCTGCTGGGCGATGCTCTTCGTGCTCGCTTCGTACGGCACATGGGCGGTCGTGAGCGCGTTCCTCAACTGCATCCCCGTGTCCAAGTTCTGGGCGCCCGAGACGCCGGGATACTGCCTGAGCATGAAGGGACTGTGGTTCTCGAACGCCAGCATGCACATCACGACCGATCTGGCGATTCTGATTCTGCCCATTCCGGCGCTCAGCACGTTGGACCTGCCGAAAAGGCAGAAGATTGCGCTGATGGGCATTTTTGCCGTGGGTGGGTTGTAAGTTTGTCGCCTTTTGCTTGATTGATACTTTCTTCTGATGTGTGTATATAGTGTCTGCATAACAAGCATCATCCGTCTAGTCAGCCTCAAAGTAATCGCCGACTCTTCCGATCCAACTTGTAAGTCCAGTCATTCAACCCGACTTATCGTCGCCGTACCGTAAAGCAACCTAACTCTTCCAGACGACAACGTCGGAGCAGCAACCTGGTCCTCCATCGAATGCAACACAGGCATCATCTGCGCCTGTCTGCCAACCCTCCGCCCACTAATCTCGCGCATCCTGCCCCGGTTCCTGTCATCGCTGAGCGGCAGCCGGTCCCAATCCAAATCCCAGTCTCACCGGCGCCTAGACGACGAGAACAACCGCGCTACGCCGACGTACCGGAACAACGGCACGCAGCCGTCAGCTGCTCCCGAGGAATATGCTAATGCTGAAGACGATGAGTACAGAGTAGAGGTAGTCACCATCGAGCCGCTGATGCCAGGGATGCCGCGAATCACGCGCGACGGGACGATTGAGTTTCCCAAACCGGTGCATGTCGAAACTGAAGAAAGGGAGAAGGAGAAGAGAGGGTCGTCTCGTTAGGACCGGATCCTGACTGAATGCGAAATACGAAAAAAAAATCAGGAGGCAGACATATATACCATACCATACCATACCATATTACTTCCATGAAATATTTCGTTTCTTTTCTTTCTTTCTTTCTTTCTTTTTGAATTTTTACTTTGTACTTTCTTTCTTTTTTTGTTCTTCTTCTTTCCTTATCTACATATTTCAGCCTCTCTCTCTCTTTTTTCTATTTTTTCCGTTCTCAAGCATCCTCTTCGGGGTTCTTGTTCCTATTTTTTTTGTTTTTGTCTTTCCTTTTTCATATTTAATTATTTATTAATTGGTTTTGTCTGCTATCTGCTATCTGCTGTCTGTTATCTTATCTGTCTCACATTCAGTCAGCGTTTTCTGTCTGTCTTCTGTCTGCCTACTGGCTGTCTATTTACTCTAATCTAGTCTAGTCTAATCTAAACAAAAAAAAATAAATAAATAAATAAATAAAAATAAAAATAAAAAATAAAAAAAAGGTAGATATACGCCAGCGATGTAGTAATGAATCGAAAGGGTAAAAAAAAAACTCCAACCCAAATCAAGCAATCAAGCGGTGATCATAACTCCCAATGCATGCAATGCAATCATTCTAGACAATAATATGATTTGGATATATAGATATGCTAATTAATGCCAATCAATGCCTACCTATGTAGGTAGCAAAGTAAGAGAGAGATACGGAGTAGAGGTAGGTCTCCTCTGTGCAAACATACTCTAAGTCCCTTTCTCTGTGTGTGTATCTCGGTCTGGATGTATAGTATAGGTAGGTAGGTAGGTGTATAACCCAGCTTGCGCAGCTGAAACCAAACAAATCTAATCTAATCAAATCAATCAATAATCAGCTAGCAACAGCAACAGCAACAGCAATGGTATATAGCATGGATAATTTATGGCATTAAAAAGACTGAAACTCCCGATCCACCTCCTCGAAATAGTCAAAAAACCCCTTGAACAGCTGCACGCCCAGCCCCGGATCCAAGCTCCCCGTCGTCGCGCGGATGCTGTGCATACTCAGCTGCGGGATGCCCGCGTCGATGGCGCGCAGGCCGATGCGCGCACTCGTCATGGGCCCGATGGTGCCGCCGCTGCGGCTGTCGTTGCGGATCTGGAAGACTTGCAGTTTCGAGCCGCACCGCTCTGCCACGGCTTGTAGGATGGCAGTGCTGACGCTGTCGGTCGCCATGTGCCCGTTCGGATCTGCCGATACGGCCACCCCGACGTTCAGCCGCGGCGAGTGCTGCGAAAGGTACGCGTTCAGGAAGTTGGGGTTCACGGCGTGGATGACGTCGGACGAGACGAGGAAGCTGTTGGCGACTGTCTGCGAGAGGACATTCGGTCCGTAGGACGTCGTACCGGCAAACGCTTCCACGATCCGCTCCATCACGCTGCTCAGGTAGTTGGACCGCGCGCCCTGCCGCTGCAGACTGCCAATCTCCTCGTCGTCGAACATGCCCACCAGCTTGACCAGCCCCGGCGACGCGTCGTCCGGCGACGCCAGCAGCGCCTCCTGCGCCGCGTAGCAGCACAGCTTGTCGTCAATGCGCCCCGCGAAGATGAACTCCTTGTCCAGCCCGCCCAGCTGCGCCGGCTGGCTGTCGTACAGCTCCAGCTCCCAGCTGATAATGTTGCTGTAGTCGGTGACGCCGAGCTGGCCCGCAATGGCCCGGACGAGTTTGGGGGGTTGGGTCGCGGCGAACGTGCCTGGTTTGATCGAGATGTCTTCATCCGTAGCATTTTCTCCAAAGAGGTCTGAATTGTCGATCCCGATAATGGGCACCATCTGCGTCTCCAGGTTGTACGGCCCCTGGGCCGCAGCGCCAAAGTGCGGCGCCAGCGTCGGAATCCGGGCGATGGGCCAGTCGAGCTTGACGAGACGCTGCTTGACGACGCCGGTGGCCGGGTCGCGGACGAGCACGCGGCCGCCGATGGAGAGGTCGCGATCCCACCAGGTCTTGTTCAGGGCGCCGGCGTAGGGGGCGACGGCCAGCTGGACGAAGCCGGCCTTGGAGGGCAGCTTGGAGACGGGCTTGAGCTTGGCGGTCAGGGCGTCGATGTGGCCAGCCACGACGGCAAAGCCATTGCCGGCCTTGTAGTCCCTGCCGATGGCGAAGGCGATCAGGGCGCTGCCGTTGCGGGTGACATAGTATTTTCCGCCGCGCTGCAGGACGGACGTCCACGAGTCGCGTTCGGAGAGGCGCTGGTAGCCGTGGGCATCGAGCTGGCGCGTGAAGTGGTCGACGGCGTGGAAGATGGTGGGATTAGAAGTGATGAAGTCGCAGAAGGGTTTGGCATAGGATTGGGGGTCGAAAGAGGGACTGGACTGCGATTGAGACTTCTGCGGGGAAGCTGAAGCAGGAGCTCGATCAGAGAGATGCAGGCTCGCAACGGAGCTGTGGAGGCTGCCAAGACGCTGTTTCGTCATTGTGGAAAGGACTCTGGTGAATGAGAAGGTGAATGGGATGATAGACACACAGGGATGTGAGGGAGATAACAAGGGAGAGATAAAGCGGAGAGGAGAGTTGGAGATGCGGAGGCGGAATTGTGCAATCAGACCGGATGATAAGCAAACACTAACCTAACTATTATTAGTTATGAACGTTATTCTGATAGTCTCCAAATTAAATATCATCATTGGATAATAGACAGTATTCCTCCAGTTATTGCATACAATACGACAATTCCAAACACAACAGAGGCATCGTTCCAGCCTCTATCTAGTCTCGCCTCTAGCCATTTTAAATTAATATTAATATTTACTTGGAATGATAATTTAAATAGTGTACAGTACAGTACAGTACAGTATGCATGTCTCACGTGGGAATGCACCTGCATCAATCCGGCAGGATATTATTATTATTATTATTATTCAAGTTTAACGTCCATACCGAGCCTTTCGGCTATGACAGACCCCGAATCGTGGGCGACGCCCCTATCTAGTCTCTAATTCCCCTCTTTGACCATTCTGGACCTTTTCCTCGCCCCAAACCGCCTTATTGCGCAGGGCTTTTGGGCATTATGTATGCCCTCCTTGGTGTTATCACTGAATGGGTGTCACCTGCCTGCTGCAGGCCACCCTCCCCTATTATCCCTCCCCCTCTCGTTCTGCCTCCTCCAAGGCCTCCAGCCCCCATTCATCATCCCTATGAGCCCTATCCACTGCCCGTACCTGGTCCCCCCGGGGGCAACCTATGGCAGTATCTGCTAGGAACTGCAGCAGGGCTCGTGAGGCTTTAGGGTTCCCAAACAACCTTCCTTCCGGATACTCCTCT